TGACAGGATACGATGAAAGGAAAGAAGAGTGGCCAAAATGCATGCATGGTGAGGACTGCCTAGTGCAGATGTTCACCGAGGGAATAGATGGAGGTCGTCGTTTCTTCAAATGCCCGCGAGCATGGGTAATTTCTTTTACTATTTGTTTCTTCAATATGTTTGTCTTGTATATCACTTACACGACATACTTTTTGTAGTCTTCCTTGATAGAAGAAAACTATGGGTTCAGTAGGTGGGTCGATCCTCGACCTATTTATCCGCATGCGGAGTACATCTACTACCTACAAGACCGTATCTTCGAACTAGAAAGGGAAGTTAGCAGCGGTTACAAGGACGACGAACAGGACGACAACAACAATGGTGCTGATTCACAGGAGGCACTCTGCAATGATCCATATTGCACCTGCCCTAACCACAAGAAAAAGGGGTCTCCCCCATCACCCCCGCCACCACCACCAACAACAATGGGAGGCTACTATGGAGAAGGTGCAACACAATTTGCTATGTGGCCACACTACTAGGATGAGTTTATGTTTTTCTTGTGGAGAATCCCAGGTTTAATTATCTAAGGCATGTTAGGTTTAATTACCGAAGGCATGGTTTAATTACCTAAGGCATGTTAGATTTAGTCAAAGAAAACTATGTACCCAGGTTCGGTACCTGTAGTCACATGCCATTTAATGTGTTTCGTGTGTTGATTTCTATAATATCGTATGTCGTTAACTGTTTTTTGCAGCACGTGTTAAAATAGAAATAAGTCTGTATCATTAAGTGGAATATTAAGACCATTGATAATGAAAACAACCACATAATGAAAAGTTAGATACTATGTCATATTACACAACATATTAATAGTATAACTAAGTGCCGACAGTAGACAAAGGGGCAAATGCACTTCCAAATCCTTAATCTGAAACGTACTGAGTAAGCAACTCATCATCCGAGTACCAGTCCTCTACTACAACCCTGTTGCTGCGGCTAGGCTCAACTGCGTTGCTCTCACCTGCCTGTCGCTTGTAGTAAGCGGCCTCCGCTTCGTCTGCGGCCGCTGCGGCCTGAGTGAAGAACGCGTCGTCATCCTCCTCTGCCTGTAAGCCTGCCTCTGCTAGGGCGATGAGCTCGCTCAGTCTGCCAGTGTCGTCGTCAGCCTCCTGCGCCTGAATGCCCGCCTCTGCTAGAGAGATGAGCTCGCTCAGTCTGCCTGTGTCGTCGTCAGCCTCCTGCGCCTGTATGCCCGCCTCTGCTAAAGCAATGAGCTCACTCAGTCTGCCAGTGTCGTCCTCATCCTCGTCTCCATCATCACACAGCACAATCGATGATTGAACGGTGCGACCAGCTCGTGATCTATGGGCATCTAACTTCTTCTCCTCATATCTTGCACGAGCCACCTCTGCAGCATGTTCCCCGCTGCAACCAATCCCTTGATGTATAAAATGCAATCATTTAGCAACTCGATAATATTACATTTAAAACCAGGCAACGGAAAAAGGTTTTCAAGCACTCACTGGCACATAATGTAGCAACATGCTCGTCCAAGACCTGCATCTGTACTCTTGTCTCCTCCCTTGCCTCATTCCTTGCCCTCTCCTCCTCTAACGTCGTTCGCCTCTCCAATCCCCATTTGTTAAGCCCAACATCGATCGGGTTACAAATACCGCGCTGTCTAGCAAACTCACACATCTTTTCTTTGTGATGTTTAACGAATAGGTTGACGTAGTCAGGTCCATATCCCCTCTTCCGTGCAATTACTTGCCTCTTTTTCAGTTCATCCAAGAACTTAGCTTGACCATCATAACATTCCCAACTGCATTTCCTAGTACTCTATTCAAAACAAATATTATATCATATATGTATTAGGAAAACAAACAAAATACGATTTCATGTTTACCAGAATTATAACAAACCTCATCATACTCAATCATATGGCCGCAATAATGACCTATTCCAAGCTCCGAAGGGACTAGCCCATAGTTGGATTTTACACCACATTCGCACATGACAGGAGGTGCTTTGTAGATTACACGTTCTTTCTTCTTTTCCATAACCCTCCGCGGTTCTTCCAGCCATTGGTTCTTAGGACCATACAACCACTCCTTGAAACGACACTTCGCCATTGAATACACCTAAATAATGAGACATTAGTACATAAACACATATAGCTCAAGATTTTAACACATACACTTTGCACTTACTTCATGCTTGTTTGGACACACAAACTCCAACGTATTCTCAGGGTTTATCACAGCTCGATCTCCGCAATCGCATGAGAGGAGGTTCCTCGAGTCGCCTAACGGCTGACTAGGTGCTTCTCCTTAGCCGTCATTGCCGGGAGGGTTAGGGGGTGGAACCCACCGCTTGAAGTGCTCACGTGGATGTCTCCTCTAAACCAATCGTCGAAAAAGAGGTACCTAGGATCAAACTTTTCGCACCATCGATCCAATTTGAAAGAAAAAGCACCTCTCATGGTCCTACACAACGAGATTCCAATAATATATTAGTACCATACTTAAACAAATAAAGAAAAGGATAGTACAAATAATTTCTTACATTAAACCGACTACATGTGTAGAAGCAACGCAGCATCATGTCCGGATGTTTCGATTGGAAAACATGGGCCGGGAAACCACAATCACAGCTAGGGACAGGAAGGTCAGGGGGAACAGGGGCATCTTTGCTAGACGCGTCGGGGTATAATTCGCGAGGACGACCCCGTTTTCGCCAAAACTCCTCCCGAAACATTTCTTGCATCTAACAAATAGGATGTAATTTAGCAAACATAAATAAAAACATCACAACAAAATATCAATGAGAACCATAACTACAATACAATCAATTTCGTTATAAGAACCAAAAGCAGTTAACATTATACCCTAAACCTAGGGTTTCTCATTTCATCCACAACAATAAACCCATAACATAACTACATGCGGCTTGGTTTGCTAGCATTTTTCACGCCTTGAAATGAACCTACGGTTGTATAATACATATATTGAGGGATACAATGAAACCCTAAGTGATGACGATTCTTAGGTTCAAAAATCCGACTAATATGTACCGAATCTATACGAGAAAAACAAGGAGGTGAGCGAGTATACCTTGCTCTCGAAGATCTACGGATCAAATCAAGGTTTTCAAGGTCCAATATGTCGATTCGTGAGGTAGGATGAAGTGGCGAGAAAAAAACCCGAGGAGAAAGAAGAGGAAGAATGCTCAGGGAAGAAGGCTGGGCGGGGGTTAAATGCAGGTAGCTCGGCGCCAGAGTGAGTGGCGCCGAGCTCGGCGCCAAGATCTACGGCGCCGAGCTCGGCGCCATCCGCTCTGGCGCCGAGCCCCTTGCAGGCCGTTTGCCCGTGGCCAGGAGCTCGGCGCCAGTCACCGTGGCGCCGAGCTCGGCGCCACTCACTCTGGCGCCGAGCCAAGGGTTCATTTCTGGAATTCTTTCCGCCAGGGGTCTATTTGAGAGAAACTTTCGAAAAAAGGGCAAAAAAGTAAAAAATTCGGGCGTGCAGTGTGCTGTCCAATGCAGAAGCCCACTAACTAGCCGGTTTGCAACTAATCAAGTGACCAATGACTAGCCAAAGTGGAGACAACACTACTAGAGTGCTGTCGCACGATGCAATCAGTTAGTGCCAGGTGGTCGCTCCATTTAGCCAAGAGCGGCCATGAATTAAACGTAGTCCCTAACCCGGCCTCATCAGTGCCACCAGCACTATATAAGCAGCACCAGCCTTATAGGAGAGGGCAACAGCAGACTGATTTACAATAGCTAGTGGAGTAGAGGTTAACGCAAGAGATAGAAGAACTCATCACCAATGAGGCCGCTCCTTGTGCTTGCTCTGCTTTTTGTGATTGCCGGTGTGGCGCACGGCGCGGGGGAGTGCGGGAGAGCCTCCGCTGACAGGGTGGCACTAAGGCTGGCGCCATGCGTCCCCAGGTTTTAAATAGCCGGGCTATGTCATTTAGCTTTCTGTGTCCGAAAATACGCTATAGATGGCTATAGCGACAGCTAAGAATTAACTTATACATAGAAAAACTTAGCTAAATCTTTCTCAAACATCTATAGCCGGAGATTTAAAACATTGATGCGTCGACGACCCGCAGTCGACGCCCACGAGCAGCTGCTGCTCGGCCGTGCACGCCATCGGGCAGAGCCCCAGCTGCCTGTGCGCCGTCATGCTGTCCGGCACCGCCAGGGCTGCCGGGATCAAGCCGGAAGTGTGTTTTCTTGCAAGATACTTGCCTATTCTCTTGGTCTCATTAAATCTAATTTCTCAGATACATCTTGATGCTCAAATGCAACAATTAGTCTATGATTTATCTTTTTCCCCCCTCTAGGTGATTAAACTATGTTTTGCAAAAGAAGAAAAATGGTGTGAATATTTTTTTTTGGCATCAAAGTAGTTTTATCCAAGCTTTTTTCAGTTGCTATGCTCATCCCATCTTAAAAGACACAGAATCATCCTATCCAAGTCTTCTATAGTATGCCTAACAAAACTCATCCAAATGGTATCATAAAAGTTCAGAACAATTCTTTCCTAGGACCAGGAATACAAAATTTTTTGTATTAAAGAATTATATGTTTAGTAGTATTGATTTCATAAACAATAGACCATATTACAAGCATACTGGCAATATAGATATGTCATAATATTTCAACAAAAATTGTATCTTTTTTCTAAGTAAAAAGTTAAATTCAAACAACAAGCGCACCCCACAATTTGTAAGATAAACAAACAGAGCCTGATGCACATGTAATTTTTCCAACTTTTCAAAACATGAGTTTATGCATGCTAACAGCACAAACTAAAACTAAATCTAAAGTGTGATTGATTGATATAATAATTATTACTAATTTAGCTTCTTTTCAATAATATAGGTAGGCATATTTCCAGATTCGTCCGCTTTAAGGGATTCTGAAGATTCCGAGCTTCTAAAACTTATTTCCAAGTGTGGCGGACTTCCCAAAGTAATAGTTGCTGTAGCCAAACTTTTTGGCACCCATGACAGTCAGCTGGATGAAAACCGCAATGAATCTTAGTGACAGATTTATGCATGATCTGGAGACTAAACCGGAATTTGATAACTTGCGTGGATTATTTGGTTGGATGCACAACTACTTCCGTACATGCCCAGATTACCTCAAGCCATGTATCCTCTACCTATCCATTTTTCCGCAAGGCCAAAGCATTCGACGGAGGCGTCTAGTGAGGCGGTGGATCGCAGAGGGTTACTCGAGGGACACGTCCAACAGGTCAGCTGAGGATAATGGGGAAAAATTCTTCTCGATGCTCCTTGATCTGAGTATCATCCAGCAGACACCACATTCAGTCACCACTGCAGATACAAGAATGGTCTTGTGCCAAGTCAACGGCTTCTTCCGTGAGTACATCATATCAAGGCGAAAGGATGAGGACCTTGTCTTCGAACTGGAGGGCAGGTGCACATTGACCAGTCAACGCACAGGACGACACCTTGTTATAAAGCAAAGCTGGGACAGAGACAAGATCGTGTTCAGTAGTATTGACTTCTCAAGGCTACGCTCCCTCACTGTGTTTGGACAGTGGAAGCCCTTCTTCATCAGTGAAACTATGAGGGTGCTCCGGGTGCTTGATCTCGAAAATGCAACGGGTGTCACATATAAATGCCTGGAGCAGATGCTGAAGGTGCTTCCTCGCCTCAAGTTCCTCTCTCTGAGAGGAATAAGAGAGATCTGCTATCTGCCACGGTCAATTGCTGGTCTGAGGCAGCTTGAAACTCTGGATGTCAGGGGCACCTCCATAGTCACTTTGCCACCATCCATCACCAAGCTTACCAAGCTGCAGTACATCCGTGCTGGCATAGCTAAGGAACCATCAGTACCATGTGCTCATTTCTCTTGGTTGCCTAGCTGCTGTAGATCTTGTCATGTAGGTGGTGTTGAAGTGCCTGCAGGGATTAAGAAACTTACAGCCTTGCACACTCTTGGTGCTGTCAACGTTGGTTTTTCAGGGGGCAAGGCCATCCTGAAAGAGCTCAAGAAGCTCACCCAATTGCACAAGCTTGAAGTGACAGGCATCAACAAGAAAAATAGCAAGGAGTTCTGTTCCGTCATCTCAGACCACGTTCATTTGGAATCCATGTCAGTGTGGCTCATCATGGGCAATAACAAACCTTGTTTGAATGACATGTTCTCGCCTCAGAAGAAGCCTCCAGAAAATCTTCAGAGCCTTAAGCTATATGGCCTTGTAAAAGAAGTGCCAGCATGGATCAGAGATCTTCCCAAACTAACAAAGTTGGAACTGGAGATAACTATGTCAGAAGAAGTTGAAGGAATCAAAGTTCTTGGGGACATAAAAGAACTATGTATTGTACGTTTTTATGTCAAGCCTCTTAAAGATGGAGATGGTAATAAGCTTAACTTTTTTGTCGAGGTGAATGGAGTAGAGCAGAGCAGTTATTTGAACCTCAAGATACTTGAAATTGCTTGCAACTCAGAGTTAAATGTATCCTTTGGATCATTAGCAATGCAAAATCTTGAGCTGTTGACAGCTAAATGCTGTACTGGGTCAGCAGTGAAGTTTGCTGACCTGAAGAGTCTCTCTAAAGGAAAACTCAAGGAGGTGTGGTATTTTGGTTCCCTTGACAACACAGTTAAGTTGGACATGGAGAATCAACTTAACCAGCATCCTAAGACACCTGCTTTGAAACTGGAGGAACCATGTTCGTCCTGATGCATACTGACAATCTGTCTGTTGTTTGCTGATTCTGGCACCAGAGCACAGGGCTAAATGACTGGTGGTTTTCATTTATACCTGCCCTCTTCCTTTTCCTACACTCTAGGCATTTTGAACTAAAATATTTGTGTCCATGGCACCGTAAAGATAATTGTTGTTTCTTAGATGTCAAAATCTACATGGAGACAATTGAATGGACATATATAGCTAAAATGCTAATTTGACTCGAATTTGTTTACTCTGTACGGCAAATGTTATATGCACCTGTGGTATATAATGAACCTGTGCATTGACATCGTAATTCAATTATCTTATTTTCATTTTTGTGCTTGTTTTCCCCTGATTTCTTGGGTGATGTTGTGTAGATGTTGTCTCTCAGTCTCGTATTATTGGGTCATGTAACTTCCAGGTCTCATGGAGTCGATCTGTCGATGTGCCTAACGTTTTGACCAGTTGTAGGAACCGATCTTTCTCCATTAGAGTACACGATCTCCTGTGCCAGGTGCTATGCACATCTGATTGTTCTAGTCCATCAAAACGTGCTCCTGCACGGGCAAGTAATCCTAAGTGACAAGGATAAATGTGATGGAAATAGCTAACTAAAACTGCATATCTTTGTTTTTTTACATTTGTTCTTATTTTAATATTTACTCATCTTTGTCTGGTTGTAATAGAGTTTAGTACCAACTAAATATATGCTTTCCTATGCCCATTCATAGTTTTTCACCTTTCTATCACCATCCATGCGTGTTTGACATATGTTTAGTTCAAACTTTACGTTACATCCATTGCTTCATACATACAAGTATACATGGTCAGTATGGTGTGACACAGATCATACATGTATGTATTGAGTTAGTTTTTTTTTCTATATTAATAATGGCCAAAGATGGTAAGTAGAAAAACAATTCCTTGGGGACATTTTCTTTATAATGATGAGGCAGGCATTTAGATTACATATGTCTTCAATTTATTTTTACTAATGGTGGAAGCCAGTGACTTATACGAGAACTTAGAAGACTACTATAGATTATTTTTCATAATTGTATATGTTAGAGATGAACATTAGGGGTACTTTATATTATTTTTGAATGGTAATGGTGGGTCATTTAGATATGGATTAGGTTTACTTTGCACTTTTCATAATGGCAGAGTTGGGTAATTTTTAATGGCATAGTTTCGTAGTTTAGGTGGAGGTTAGGGGCCACTTTAGATTATTTCTCACAATGACAGAGGTAGGTATAGTTTTAAGAAAAAAACATGATGAAACCAAATAGCAGTGGCAGACGCAGAGCTTAGTCATAGGGGGTCTCATTTCTTTTGCATACAACATCGTCCCTTATTGAGTTATTTCCTTCTTCCTTCTCATCCTCTGCTAGCTCAAAGGTGCTCATGCATAGGAGTAGTGCCAGAGCAAACCCACCCCCATGTTATCATAAATCAATCGTGACTCACGAACATCGCAGTCCTTAACAGTCGATTTTCTTCTCGTATCGGCTATTTAGTCGATTTTCCCGTCTGGCTGCTCCCGAAGCGACACACTTGGAACTGTCTAGGCAAAACCGGTATGTTCCACCTTAAATTACTGATAAACTTTCTCTCCTTGTCAATTGCAGGTCAAATTGACTGGCACGCCTTTGAGAATTTGTAGGGTCGGCTAGTCCTGCGTTGAAGCCAAACGGATCTCCGGGCTCATCCCAAGCAGATCCTTCCGGCTTGCTGCGTGTCGACACATTTTTTTGTGCCGACAGTAGGTTATAGTCGTGTTAGGTGTTGCGATATTCTCGCAAAAATTGTTCGAACTTCGCTAAGAACACGCTGCGATTTACAATCTGGTGCTCGTTCACGAACCAACGTTCAACACGACGAACCTAGATTGGCATGCTTCTATCTCCCCTTCTGGTTATCCTCTTCATGTGCCGATCATTTCTTTGGAATTTTGGTACTACAGGCCTAGGGATAAGGGAGTTGATTGAGCCTCAAACATGATCGTTGACAGTTTTTTGTTCGCTTTAAAACTCGTGCGTGTTGCTGTTTCGGCCGTTGGGCTCCCGTGGCCACGGTCACCACGCGAGTTTGATGCCATAACTGCTCGGCCGCTCCTGGCCGTGGCCACTGCTCCGCTGGCTGCACAATGTGGCAGGGTGGACAATGCTCGTCTCTGCGGGACTAGGCTAGGGTCGCCGCCGGTGAGGCCGTAGGTGGGCCGAGCGGACGCCATGGCGGCCACCGTCTCGTCGACATGGCGACTGCCCTGCCCCTCGTTCCACCTACCACAATGATGATTCGGTTACCCTAGAGATGGGACACTTCCCTGCCCTGCTTGTGCCGCTGTTGCCGCACCCTGGCCATCCAGTCCTAGTCACAGTGCCGAGGTGATGCTCCTCTGCCTGCCTTATCCCGCTAGCTGCCATGGAGAACTCTGCTCGGGTTCATCCGACTCAATTCATGCACACCGCACCAAAGCTTGCTCCATCTCATAACTTGTGTACATGGGTTCGGGTGGCGGCTAATGGCCGAAGCCTCCATCTTAATCCGTTTGAGCTCATTCACATATTCCTCCGTGAAACGACCACGGCCTGAGCTCCATGCCGCCGCCCGTCAGTTTAGCTAGCTCATGGCTCCACGGTCCGATTACTCATGCCAGTAAGCGGCTTAGGGAGCCAACTAGACCCTCTATCTTCCCCATCTCCGACCGATCACTACCAACCTCCAATTTAGTATTTTGCTCAGGGTCGGCCAGAGCGCCGTCGCGACCTCAAACTTGGGGGTAAGGCCTGTTGAAAGCTCTAGTTTGGTTTTGGTGAATTGATGAAACCCTATGTGCTAACTTAGTTTATCAAAGTGATTATGAGATAGGTGGCACATTCCAAGTCGTGAAGCACATGAAGATCTTGACATGATGATGGTGATGCCATAGTGATGATCAAGTGCTTGGACTTAGAAAAAAAGAAAGATAAAAACAAAAAGCTCAAGGCAAAGGTGAAATTGATAGGAGCTTTTCAGTTTAGTGATCGGGACACTTAGCGAGTGTGATCACATTTAGGATCAATAGCCATACTATTAAGAGGGGTGAAACTCTATCGAAATACGGATATCAAATTGCCACTAGATGCTCTAACTCATTGCATATGCATTTAGGATCTAGTGGAGTGCTAACACGCTTGAAAATGTTTGTGAAAATATGCTAACGCACGTGCACAAGGTGATACACTTGGTGGTTGGTACATTTGAGCAAGGGTGGAGAAGTTGGTGAAGTGAAGGAGATGATTATCACTGTGAAATAGTGACCGGACGCAAGATCGGTGAGTCCGGTCATTTATAAAACAAGGAGGCGTGCTCGGGCTCTGTCTATTGTCTAACCGGACGCTAGGTCACTTTGTGACCTAACGTGTGGTGGCTGAGTCCGGTCTTGATGATGTGGCAACGTACAAAGAAGAGGATGAGTGATCGGACGCTGGGCGAGTCTGGTCGGGCGTGATCGGACTCGTCCGGTCGAGAAAAACCGCCTCTGGAACCTTATTGGAAGTGACCGGATGTAACAGAACCGACCAATTATACGAGATTAAGTAAGGAAATCTTCCGCCGAAGCAGATAATTTAGCAAGCTTAAGCCCGTATAACCCGGTAGTCCGTGAAACCATGAAGGATTTCAAACCAATCGCCATACAAACCAAGATCGTACAAGTTTAGCAATCACCGTCACATGTTACATAAAGTTCGCAATGACAGTTGGATACATCAGAGTTTAGAACATAAAGTTATTACAACCCAAGTTCAAACTAAAATAGCGGAAGCAAATAGTTTTAAAGCCACACACACACTTTTGGTTCAGATACAGTGCTAGTAGGTAGTCATCTCCAACAAAAGCATTAGATGAGAGATACGGAGTGACCATTGCCCTTGGTCCTAGTTGTCGCCCATCGCCGGGTACAGACAGTTAATGCAATAGCCGTAGTACATTTGACCATCTGCAGCAACAATGGGAACAACGCCCTGAGTACGAGAAGGTACTCAGCTAGACTTACCCGTCTTAAACCAAAATAAAGCGATACCAAGGATTATGCAAGGCTTTCTTTAGTGGGCTAGCTGACTCGTTTGCGAAAAGCATAAGCTATCATGAAGAAACCATTTTAAGTACTTTGCATCATCTTTATTATGACCTATCCATCTAGGTAAGCACCTATACTATAGCAATCACTTGATTAACCAATAACATCTAGTTACCAACTTAGATTTAGCATATCCCATACCATCCAGATAACCATCAGTGTTCCATCATAATTACTATGATGCTGTAGCTTGAGTCAAGTGCTCACTATCTAGGAGCGATGGCGATTTGAATCGATTCCTAACCAGCTGGTGATTTATTCCTCACACAAACCACACTCACCGATCAAGTGAGCTACAGATCACCAATGACACTTTCCAAGTAGCCGCGGGATAACAGTCATGGACCGCACTACCCAGGGACCGCCCGACAGCCAGGACGCACCTTGGGCTCACTCTTCGCGTCCCCGTCATACCCCCTTCAGCACCAGTCTGCCAATCCGAGTTTATCCTGGCTCGAATAGTGTCACTAGCTTCGCGGTCAAAAGGTACTTTATTCGGCCAGCTAAATGTGAGGCATACGTTCAACATGACAAGAGGGACGAGCAACAATTGGTCCTTAATCGACACAGACAGAAAACTAACAGCACCCCAGAACCCTGTCTGGTTGTCTCCAACTTTTCCGTCCGGTCTCCAATTATCCATCACACATGGTTAATTCCAGGATATCATTCTTTCTATAGTTAAATTCTTCCAGTAACCACCTATAAATGTAGGTGACCGGAAATCACCGATCGCTACCGGTCTAAGCAAGGCTAAGCAGTTATTCGATGTCGACCTAACAGGGTAAAAAGGTAATAAGGTAGGCAAGGATAGTAATAAATGCATCAACGGTTTCAATCAACTCCTACAACTTAATGCAACAATATATAAACTCATATATAGAAA